TTTTCAGAAGGCGTCGCTTGCGAAGGGCATTGCCTCCGTCGAATTGTGTGAGGGAGCAGGTTAGCGTCATTATCACATATCCATGACCCAGCTCTTACGAATTTTTGCCCGATCATATGATTTGGAATCGTGCTAGCTTGTTTTGTATTCCTGTAGTGGATCGGAAATTCAATAGTCTTCCTTTGCCTAGCTTTTTTATGACTATTTATCTCCAGCTCTTGCCTTTTAAAGTTTTTTTTATAGATCTTTTATTTGCGACGGCTTCCCCACGGCTCAGTTCCTGCTCCTTCATATTATCCCCGCCTCTTCAGTGCCCTCGATTATATCGTTAAAGAATCCTTTGATGAAGAATTTCGTAAAGTCGCCATTATTTTAGGTGAGTTTTTTTGGGTCAAATATCAGGTATGGTTCTGATAGTGCAAATGTTTGTAGGTCTTGTGGAATCGCTGGCAGAGCTGTTGGTCCTTGAATTGGCCGTATTTGATATACCCGCTAGAAACGAGCACAGATCGTTGCGAAAGCTTATCGCTAACGCTCTGACAAATCTGACCTACGGTCATGCAGCTAGTAAACGCCGTCTTTGTTTCTACTCTGGTTTCATTCCTACCGTTGTTAGGATTCTCAACGAAGCGCGGAATCTTGCACAGGTTGTTTTCTCAAGATTTTGCTTCTCCGCTCTCATTTAATTCCACATTGAACGCCTTTGAGATCTTTCAATTTGAACCTTTCTTGTGATGTTTGCGTCAGTAGGAAAAATGGGTCATGGTCAGCCATCGACAACCCTTCGTATTTCCTATTCTATAATTTAGCTATCGTATGCTATTCAAGGTTATTGCGGGAAAGGTGTTCGTTTCGATGTCTACGCTAAAGAGAATGCTGTCTGCTTTGTTTACGTCTGATTTTCGTGCAAAAACGAATAGCGGACTGTCATCTATGAGTAGTTCAAGGCGAAAGGACCTTAACAGTGAAATTATTTCAAAATTGCGAAATTCCGCGTACCTTTCTGGATATGCTCTCATAAGGAGCAGCTGTCATTAGCATGGTTGTTGTTGTTCGAATGGCAGTGGCGAGTTCCAGCTGTTATAGCGGCGATGAGAGCGCAAGTTAATATCGTTACACTCTGCAAATAAATTATTTATGCTCATCCCCCGACCTATATGGGAAGGGATCGAATGCACGTAGTCAGTAAACAATCATAAGGAGGATTGATTCGACAGCCATTCTAGATTTAAGTACATAATTAAAGAAGGTAACTTCTAGCCCTCGACTTCTCGATTAGCAGGGGTTTTTGTGAGAAGCTAAGTCATTTTT